TTTTTTATGATTTAAGTATCTACATTAGTTTTTATTTTCTTAACTATAGAAGGTTCCTATTCTATAGTGCTTTCATTATTTTATTTTATTTGATGCGAAATATTTGTTTTAATTCTATTTTCTTTGCCTTCTTGAATTGCTTTCAAACTATTTTACCAAAACTAAAAATATTTTTATTTTATCTATTTTTACATCTTTAAAAGTTTAGATATCTGATTCACTCATTTATAATTGTCCTTTATCAGAAATTTTCTTTAACTTACCAATAACTTCATTAATAATATTTTAGTATTGATTTTATGTTTCTTATGCTTATAAATCAATTATTTGAGAATTCATAAAATTTTTAAATTATTTATTGAAACAAAAATTAGTTATTGTTTTCTTAAAAAGTGAAATTTAATTATCATTCAAAATCAAGAGTAGGTAATATATGAATACTAGATGATTTAAATAATCATTTTAGATTCCAAATATTTTATTTCTGACCTAAATATAAATATTATAATATTATTAATTAGCAGTTATGCTCAATCACATGTAAGAAGAATAGCCTCCATTAAATTTTATGAAACCATCTTATTAACCAGCAATTTAAGGTCCTCGTATAGCTGAATCAATAATAAATCAATAACAAGGACTGGGAGGAGTCGCAATTTAAAATACAAGATAATTTTGGAATGAGAAAGAATAAAATTGGTTGAGGTTGAGCGTAAATTTGAATCCAATTGCATTTGCAAATTATGAACTGTTTAAGAGTGCAAATATTGATATATCAGAATCTCCTAATCCACTCTAATGTTTATTATGCTTCATCATAAAATTCATAATTTTGATACTCTACTTTTTAACTCCATATTATTAAACGATTAAATTATATGAAACTATAGTGGTCTTAGGAGCAATAGATTTTTGGATAATTAAAAATATCAGTGGAAGGTATGAAAATTGATAAATTAGGAAAATTAGTTGGACTACGTTGGTGGGTTGAAATAAATGATAGTGGAAATGAGAGTTGGGTATTTGAAACTTCAACTTAAGAAAAAGGAGAAATATATAGAATTCATAGTAGAATATTCTGGTTTGTATAGTTATTCATGTTCTTAATGTTTTTGGGGATGTTTATAATTAATGCATCCTAATTACAAATAAGTGTCTCAATTTGTATGTTTTTTCCTGCTGCTTTTACTGGATATAACTTATATGCATTCAATTTATGTAATAAGATAAAGAGATCCAAATTAGGAGAGTCTTTTTTATAAATGAGTGTAGGCCGAAACTCAGTAAAAATGCCATTAAAATTAGAATGATGATTTATTAATAAATATATTAATGAATTTAAAAAAAGGAAAAGCCATACCTACTTAAACACTAAGTCTTACCCTCTAAAATCAACTACCACAAATACAAACACAGTCTATAAATTAAACTAATAATCAAATTTAAGCTATTTAATCAGCTAAATAACCTCCAAAACCATAGAAAATGTTTTCTGATTACATGAAATAATTAATGCAAAATCCTGAAACTAAGAAAATATATGATGAGGCAGCTAATAATGTTGTTGTCTTTTAAACAGAAGAGCCAAAATAATAATTTTAATAATAATCAAAACCTTTTTCAATTAAACAATCTTAAACTTCTAACAGTTTCGCATCTAATAGTAATTCAAATAAAAAACCATTTAATTAATTTTATGAATAATCTAAAATTAGAACTGTTAATGAATCTATTCCAAGACCTTAATCTGAGAAAAGACAATAAGAAAATTAAAGTTATGTATCTACTTAAAAATCAGAAGATGTTTCAAATGATATTGAAATTAAAAGTGTTAAATCAGATGCATTTAGCATTTCTAAATCTTCGTAAGATCTACCTAATTCTAATTCGAAATATGTTTAAAAAAAAAGACAAGAAATAAATTTTGATTCTGATATTTGGGTTAAAAAAGAAATTCCTTAATATAAACTATAAAATAAAGAATACAAACAAATAATGAATCAAGTTGAATAACTTGTCTAATCAAGAGAATAATCAAGACAAAATTAATTAAAACAACTAGAAGGATTTAATGCTAGTAGATAAACTACTAGAACTCAAGCTAAATAATAAATTAATGAAGATACAGAATTAGAAAATGAAATTCAAATGTTAGCTATAGAATTAGATTAAGTTGAATAAATTGAGTTAGAATAAAAAACTAAAAATGATATTTAAAGATTTCAATAATTACTAGAATAACCTTTAGAAAATGATTCCTAATTCTCTTAAATGTCTCTTAAACAAAGATCTATGTTTATTACTGAATTACTTAGAAATAGAGAATAATTTAAAGCTAAAATTACCGGATAATAACAAGAAGCTGATTCATCTTATAAATTTTAAAAATTTGACACATAAGAATAATAGGTTGAATAAATTGAATAAAAAATTGAAAAATAATAAGAAAAATTAGAAAATATTACCCAATTTAAGTTGCCTAATGAATATTAATTAAGATTAGAATCATTATTATTAGATATTGATAATCTTAAACAAAATTCATCTAAATTTTATACTAATCCATTTTAAATTCCTAAAGAAAAACTATAAGATATTCATAAAAAAATTAAAAAACTTAATCCTAAATTTATTGAAGATGCAGATTTAGAATTTGATAAAAATTGTATGTTACCAAAAGATCCTATGTTAAGGAAGGAAGCTATTGAAAGGATCTTAGAAACTAAAACTTAAGAAGTCAATTCAGAAATCTTTAAATTAGTTTCTAAAGGAAATAGTTTAGAAGAAAGACCAAAGATGTAACAATTGATTGAATAAATTAAAAAAAAAACTTAATATACACCAAGTGAATTCTTAAAACAAAAGATGTAACAATTTGATGATCTATAAAAAAATATTTAAAATTCTGCAAAAGAACTAACTACAATGTAATGCAATTCTATTTTAAATGAATTCACAGAATATAAGAAATAGTTAGATATAGCAATCAAATAAAATTATGAATTATTATATTCCAGTAAAGAATAAGATCTCTCAAATGAATTAGAAGTCTTACATGAGTATTAATAAAAAGTGAAAAATATTTAAAATGAATATGAATAAGTTTAAGAATTTATAGAAAAGTTTACGATTGATAATTAATTGCCTGTTATTTAAGAAGATGATGAACTAAATGAAAATGTTCAAATCTAAATTTAATAGTAAACTTAACCTCTTTAAACAATTGAAGAATTAGACCTAGAAATTACAAAAAAAGTGAGAGAATAACATCCAGAACTGTTTGAAGAATGATTTATAAATTATAATTATTTATTTCTGTTTCATTAAAAATTTTAATAGTAATCTCTGTTATTTTAAATTTTATAATAAGTATAATAAGTTAATTCTCTAAATAAGTCTTAATACATTTAAGTTGAAATTTAAATAATTTAGTTTTAATTTAAAAATAAAACCTTTATATTTATTCTTTAATTATTAGATATTTGTAAGTCAACTTTTATAGGTTCTTTATTTCCAATTCTTGAATTAAGAACCTATATAATGTTGATAATTGAGCATCTTTAAATTATTTTATAATGAGATTTAAATTGAGTTTTTTGTACTTCTATTAAAATTTCATTTATCGTTAACATTTATTAATATATAATTTTTTTTATTTTGATTGAAAAAGAATAGTCAAATATTTGTTTTATGATGTATATTTAATGATAGGAATCTAAATAATTGATATAGTAATCATAAAAGTAATTGAATGAATAGGGAGTAGGAGAAAAATAATTTTATATATAATGGAATATTAACAATAAAAATTGTAAATCTATTAATATTTTAAATAAATGTATAGAATTAAATAAGGTTAAAAAATTTGTAATCCTGTTTAGGATTTTCCTTCTAGAAGTTTTTAGATTAAGTCATAACTTGGAAAAGGAGAAGAAGGTTAAGTTTATTTGGCAAAACCAGAAAATTGGAACAAGAATTTTGATGTTGCTTTAAAAATTTAAGAATCAGTCAATGAAACAGAATATGATTTTATAACAAAGTTGATAGATATATAAAACAACAGAGATGAGTTAGGATCATAAACCTATAGACCTACAAATATAATTAGAATATTTGATTTATTTAATTACTAAGGTCTAACTATTTAGGTGATGGAAGTCGGAGATTTAAATCTATTTGAATATATGAAGAAAAATTAATAAACACTAAGTCATGAATAGAAAATGTAAATTTGTTATCAAGTATATATTTAATTAAATTAAGTTACTTAATGCTATTAGCTATATTCATGAGAAAGGATTAATACATAGAGATATAAAAGGAGAAAACTTTATTTTAGTAGGGAAGGAATTTAAACTTATTGATTTTGGGTTATTAAGTGTAAAGAATAGATTGATGACTTCAAAGGGTGGGACTAGAATATTTTAAGCTCCTGAATTATTAGAATCAGATAAAGGAGAATTATATACATAAGCAATAGATACTTGGGCACTTGGATGTGTATTTTATGAAATTTTTGGAGAGTAAGAATTATTTCCCTGTCATAAAATGTCTGTATCACTTGATTTAATCAAAAATCATAAAAAAGATTAAAATTATATATACTCTATTATTGATAATTTAAAAGTAAGTTAATAATGGAAGGAATTAATAAAATAAATGCTTCATCCCAAATAAATGTCAAGAATTAATGTGAAGGATTGTATGAAAAAAGTTAAACTTTTTATATAATTAGAGTCAGATCCAACTATGATTAAAACATTGAATAATTTAAAAAAGAAAGAATAAAAGAATGATTAGGAACTATAATAAAATGATTTTCTAATTATTTAGCAAATATAAGAATAAGAATTTAACAACACTATTAAAGAAAAAAATTAAACGATTAGATAATTAGGAACTTAAATCAGAAATTTTGAAGAATAAATAGAAGATTAAAAGAATAAAATTTATACCTTAGAGAAAAAAATAAGTAAATTAGAAACAGAAAATAAAAATTTAAAATAATAAAATGAGGAGTCTACAAATAGAATTAGGTAATACGAAGATTAAATTTAAATGTAATATATAAATTAAAATAAGAGCAATTTACAAATTTAAAATTATATGAATTAGTAAGCAAATAGTTTCATGAATTAATAAGCACAATCTTTTTTTTAATAGAAATAGATTTTAGAAAATGAAATATAAATACTGAAAAAAAAAAATTTGGAATTAGAAGATAAACTTAAATCTAATATATTTGATAGTTCTAAATCAAATTAAGAAACAATTCAAGTCAAACTAAAAAATCAAAATGTCGAATAAAACTCCATAATAGAGTAAGTTAAATTTTTGGAAAAATTAATTGAAAATGAAAAGAATGAGATTACAAATTTAGAATAATCATTAAAAAATTTTTAAGCAATCCAAAAAATCTTAAATTTTAATAATATAATGTTAAATTCATAAATAATTGATTTAGAAAAACTTATATAAGAAAAAAAATCAAAGAATTAAAATTATGAAAAAATCTAGTTAGAAATTTAAAAATTAGATCAATAAAAAATATAATCACCTTAATTTTAAATTTAGGATCCTTAATTATAGCAGTAATAAGGTATGTTTTATACATAATAAGAAAAAATTTATGGTTCTCAAGAAGATTTTCTTCAAAAATAATATAAATAATTGAATTAACAATAAAAAGTTCCAACAATGCCTTAAATATAATAGATATAATAAAATTAAAATAATATTTTGAGACCATAATTTAACTAAGGATCAAATCTATAATTAAATTTGATAAATCCAGTTGTTTTCAATGCGGGATAAAACTAAATTTAGCAATAATAGAATTTTATTATTTGAAAATAATATTAATTATGTATACTTATTGAATGAATATAAATAATATAATTAAAAATACTCAAAATTTAATAGAATAAGATATTCTTAAGCACCTGAATGCCACTTGTTCATTTAAGAATTAGTTTTAGATAATACAAAAGGGTTGTGGTAAAAATTAATATCAAAATTATATTAATTTGATTGAAGGCTTTACTAATATTGAATGCTAACCTAAAGAAATAATTTTTAGATTATATGAAATTTTACCAATAGTTTGTCAAAAGTAAATTCTAGAAGCTGAAAAGTAAATGAATAATTTTATCACTCCAACTTCATTTTAAATTTAATTTTAAAAAGATTAGATTACTAAATTAAAAATGCTTATTCCCTTCAAAAATCTTACAAAAGATAAATTAATATTAAATCCATTATTTTGTGATTTCTAAATTTTTTTGGAGAGCCTCAAATATAATCAATCATATTAAAATGAAATAAATAAAATTGATGCTGATGAATAGTATGTAATTATGTTGCTATGGAGACTAAGAGAGATTTTGAATAATAAAAATTATGGAAAAGCTTAATTTGAAGTCATACTCTTTCCAAAATAATTTAATTTTGGGATTATTTAAATAAAAAATGGAATAGAAACAATTTATTTTGATTCATTAGAACATTAATGGAATTTTTTAAATATGAATAACAAATTTCATAAATAATCAGCTCTAATTTCTGAAGCTTTATCAAATAAGGAAATAAATGAGTTAAATATAAACTTGTTTGAAATTTATTAGTATGATCAAATAATGAAAGATTAAACAATAATAGAAAAAAAATAGAGAAAAAATAAGGAAATGAAATAAAAATTGGATAGAGAATTGATAAAAAAAATAAAATAAGATTAAGGGATAAAGTTTTAAAAATACTTTTTGATTAGACCTAAAAACTTTGTCAATATTTAAAGTATTTTCTGTTTACATGATGGAATAAATAATTATTTAAAACATTCACTTATATTTGATAACTAATAAAATCTATAATGTAAATGTGGAAGGGAATTTGATGTATATACTTGCGATACTTTAATAATAGATAAAGATTTTAGAGATATTATTGATTTTATAATTTAAGAAATGATTGCAGATAAGTATTTAGATTATAGAATATTTTTAATACCACTTTTTTTAGAAATTGAGATAGATTAATATAAAAATTAATTTATTGTTATATTTTTTAGAGATAAATATAATAATAAAGTACCATTGAAAAGGTTTTTATTTAAGGCAAAAAATTATAATTATGATATAAACTGTATATTAGAGAAAGAAGGTGATTAGGATGATTTATTTGAAGGAGAGGATATTACAGATTATTCAGTTATTGAGGATGATGTTATTATTGATTATTGATGTCTATAAAGATATAAATAATTGATAAATATTATTACATATTTAAAATTGTTAATATAAAATAATAATATAATGTTAAATAATATTGGATATCTGGCATATATATCAATAATGGGAATTTTGTTATTAATTAGTCCATCTTCTTTTATAAAGATAACGAATAGAGATTAAGAATAATCATTATTTAATACATAGTTATCATCATTGCTCTAAACAGAATCAGTAATAAAGTAATAAAGCTTTATAGGGTTTAAGAATATGTGGTTTTTATCATCTAATATTATTGTTTGCATAAATAAGTAAATAAGAAAGAGTGAAATTTATTTGTTTAAATATATATGCATTATTTTTAATATCAAGAATAGATAGTTTATGTATTGATGGAGTTGGATAAATTTAATCTGAAAGATTAGAGAGGTAGATTAAAAATATGAAATTAGATTGGGATTTTATGCGAATNATGATCAAATAATGAAAGATTAAACAATAATAGAAAAAAAATAGAGAAAAAATAAGGAAATGAAATAAAAATTGGATAGAGAATTGATAAAAAAAATAAAATAAGATTAAGGGATAAAGTTTTAAAAATACTTTTTGATTAGACCTAAAAACTTTGTCAATATTTAAAGTATTTTCTGTTTACATGATGGAATAAATAATTATTTAAAACATTCACTTATATTTGATAACTAATAAAATCTATAATGTAAATGTGGAAGGGAATTTGATGTATATACTTGCGATACTTTAATAATAGATAAAGATTTTAGAGATATTATTGATTTTATAATTTAAGAAATGATTGCAGATAAGTATTTAGATTATAGAATATTTTTAATACCACTTTTTTTAGAAATTGAGATAGATTAATATAAAAATTAATTTATTGTTATATTTTTTAGAGATAAATATAATAATAAAGTACCATTGAAAAGGTTTTTATTTAAGGCAAAAAATTATAATTATGATATAAACTGTATATTAGAGAAAGAAGGTGATTAGGATGATTTATTTGAAGGAGAGGATATTACAGATTATTCAGTTATTGAGGATGATGTTATTATTGATTATTGATGTCTATAAAGATATAAATAATTGATAAATATTATTACATATTTAAAATTGTTAATATAAAATAATAATATAATGTTAAATAATATTGGATATCTGGCATATATATCAATAATGGGAATTTTGTTATTAATTAGTCCATCTTCTTTTATAAAGATAACGAATAGAGATTAAGAATAATCATTATTTAATACATAGTTATCATCATTGCTCTAAACAGAATCAGTAATAAAGTAATAAAGCTTTATAGGGTTTAAGAATATGTGGTTTTTATCATCTAATATTATTGTTTGCATAAATAAGTAAATAAGAAAGAGTGAAATTTATTTGTTTAAATATATATGCATTATTTTTAATATCAAGAATAGATAGTTTATGTATTGATGGAGTTGGATAAATTTAATCTGAAAGATTAGAGAGGTAGATTAAAAATATGAAATTAGATTGGGATTTTATGCGAATATTTAGTTTTATAGCATTTAATAATTGGCCTATTAATAGTTAAGAGAAGAAATATTTAAAGAATGATTAAAAAAAAGAACTAAAGAAAGAATGAAAAGTAATTGGAGAAAATAGCAAGACATAAATAATCTAGAATAGTTAATAGAATAGATAAAAAAACAAGAATAGTGATAATAGCGGAAAAGAATAAAAATAAAGTAAAAATAAAGAAAAAATAAAGAAAAAGCAAAGAATGAATGATTAAATTTATAATTTAAATATTTATAATATCAAACTTTAGGTAATTCTTATTCTTCAGTACTATCTTTAATTTATACTTTCAATTTTCCATTTACAAAACGCAATTTATCTGTCAACGCTGAATAACAATACCAATAAGCATCAAAAAAACCAATTAAACTACCCAAACCAAAATTTATACTTTTCCATATTATTGATTATACATTAAATATGTTCACCAAAGATGGCTAATTATATTATAATTTATACAATTATCCAACAAATTGCCAAAATACTTGGATACATAAATAATGAATATAATGATTTACTTTTTATTTCATTAATTTTCATAATTCGAATCACTAAAATTATCACTATCATATTGTAGATAAACATCATCCAAATTGGAATATAAAAGAATATTAATAAATACAGTTCCATATTCTCATTATACATATCGAAAAAACAATTTGTTTGAGGCATTGGATAGTATTAACCATATGCATCAATTATTATTGGTCTTTTTCACAAACAATAAATACATTAAAGATATTATTAAGGGAATTCCATACCCTAATCCTGGATAATATGATTGCATATATTCATTTTATTCATTTTCTCTTAAACAATAAAATAAACTATGCATTATAATTGATGTCCAAAATGTGCTTGAAAGAATACTATAAACTGAAAAAAATGATTATGCTTAACATAAAATAGGCTTTTCACTCAACTAAAAATTACTATTCCTTAAAAATAAATATCCTATTGAATCACTAAATAGTATGATATCATATATCAGATCGAATAAAATTATCTACAGTACTATTGTAAATTAATCATTTCTTAACTCTCTAAATCTTCCATAAATATATATTACAAATCCACAACTTAAAATTGATATTAAACTTAACACTATTGTCACTATTGGAACTATTAAATCATTCATTTTATTTATATTATATATATCACTTTTTTATATTATTTTCATAATCTTCATTTCATTAATATCTTTTAATAGAATTCCATTCTTATACTTATTTTGTTAATATCAATCATTACATATCAACAAAAATTAAATACATCCTTTTAAATTACTTAATTATTAGAAAACAAATTTTCCTTGAAAAATTTAACAATATGTTTTTATTAAAATTTCATAAAATATTAATATTAAAACCAATTTTAATTGAGGAATAATTTATTCTATTGAAATATTCAATTTCAAAATTCTAGAAAGATATTACCAAAAAATAAATCCTTCTAAATTTGTTTTGATTAGTCGATCGTCTTTTAAAGAATTCAATCAAAATTCGACAAAACTTTAACTTATTGAATATATACTATGACTCTCAATGATAAATTTGGATTTGTGTATTTTATTTAACTATCTTATAATCTATTTTGATCATGTATGTACAATGATTGGAATAATTTAAGAATAGAAAAAAAGATTTGAGATATAGAAATTTAAAGAATGATTAGAATACGATGATTATCAAGTATTTCTAATATAAATCTTTATTGATTAATTTAAATATAAGTATAAAATAGAGTTGTTAATTAAATTATATATATAGATAAATTTAATGGCTTCTAAAAAGCAACTGATAGATGAAATATGTATTAATAATAGAGATAATTTAAGTTGAGATATGTGATTCTATTCTTGAGAAATCATATAAGAATTAATAGAGTTTAGATTAATTGATTTAGAAATATCCGTTGAACGAAGGAATGCAATAATTTTAATTAGTTCCAGTGAGTTAATATGAAGATTAGAGTAGAAATGGATTAAAATAATTATCATGTGAATAATTGTCTTATCTTTTGGAGGATGCTTAACATACATTAGATTAAGTAATGTATGAAGAATTGCAAATAAATAAATTGGGATTGAGAATTCCTAAAAAATCATTAGTAATATAAAAATATGAGTAATGGGATTTTTTATTATAATGGCCAAAGTCAAATAATTTAGAGAGCATAATAATAAATATATAAAGCATAACAAGTAATGAGTATATTAATGGATTAAATTGTTAGATAATATATAAGCATAGCTGTAAGGATCATCTAAAGAGAAGAGTGATTAGGATGATATTTAGAAGAAATACTAGGAAGCTTTAGAGAGAATTGAGTATTTAGAGATGTAATTAGAGAATGAGGGTAATAAAAAGATTGGATAGAAAAATATAATGAAAGGGAATATTTTAAATGATAGAAACAAAGTAAATAACTGTTAGTAATAAAAGAGAGATAAGATTGAATTAATGGATGAATTAGAAAAGAAGTTATTAGATTTAGAAGCAGAGAAAGAAAAGATGTCATCATATAGTATGGATGCATTTTCAAAATTACTTTAAACTAAATAATGATTATTATTATAAATATATGTATTACGTTAATCATATTTGATATAAATCATTCGTTCTGGCAAATCTTTATTTTTTTTAATGTATAATTACAACCATAGAAATAGAGCAGATGCAAGAACCTAAAACAAGAACAAAGAATATAATAGCCCACCATGGAGTTTAAAAGTCAATCGGTTATGAAGGTTCATCAATTTTACATTCTTTTTTATAATCTTTTTAAATTCCTTTGAGAATACTTTTAAATCTAAAGTATTAACAAGTTAATGCTTAATCTTAACAAACATTCACATATGTTCCATTATACATAATTTTAATATAAGGACCAAGTGTAGAACTATTATATAATTCATAAATAAGATTAGCAGTGTAATCAGGATATGTAGTAATGCAAGTAGTATTAGATTATATTTAACCAAAATAACTTTGATTGTAACATTCAACATTTGTTAGATTTAATGCATATAATGAAGCATAAATACTAGAGTCATGTGCAGAATATGCATGATATTTAATTTTAGAGGTTCCGTTCAATATACCATCAAAACCATCAAGAACAGTCTTAAAAAACTCACTTGTTAAAAGAGAAGCTTAATAATAATCTTAAGTATAATATAATAGAAATCCAAGTCCTGCAATTTTATCTAATTCTGCCATCATTTCTTTTGTTAATTAATCCGAATTGTTTCTTCCATTATAAAGATTACTTATAAAAGTATCTCTCCATTCATATAATTCTACAATATTTGTTAAATTTTGTTTAAGTTCTTTATTAAATTTTTTTATTAACTCTTAAGAACGATTGTTAATATCATAATAAACATCAGTATGTTAATTATAAGCACCATTATCCCATAATTTAGGACAATACATATACATAATATAATCTAAATCTTCTTGAATACTATGAATAGGAATTACTTAAATCCTATTAGGTAATGCATAATTTTGTATTCCATCTGGTGTTTTTACATTTATCATAGGAGGTAATAACAAATCTGTTGAGATTTCTGGAACTATAGGACCTAATGGATACATTCCTTATAAATTACTATAAGCACTCATAATTGTTCTTAAAATTATATTCTAAAATGTACCTATTTGTATTACTACTCTCTATATATATTTAATTTTCATTGAATATAGGATCTAGAAATCCTGTATCAATATATTATTTTCTTAACCATTATCCTAATACATAATGTTATCTCATTCCTACAGGTGTTAATTCAGATAAAGATTATTTCATTTTATCATCGCAACCGAAATTACAAAAATATGGATTTCTAGCTCCATGTCTCCACATTATATGAACTGACAGTAATTCATCTGTTAAACACAAGTGTAACAATTAAATAATCACTAGAAGTAATTTATACATATAATTAATTTTAGTTAAATTATATCACAAGTAAAATTTATTATAAATAATATAATATAATTATATTATCATTATTAAATTCCTTCATCTTTTATTATTGATCTAAAATTCCTATAAAATTAATCATCAAATATTAAAGTCTATCTTGGAAATAAAAATATTGATTGTTTAATTGATTGAAATTGTGATTAATGTTTCTAATTAATAATAACAATATAAATTGATATGCAAATAAATTGAAATACAAGAAACATTATACATGGAATCTAAGTGTAATTCATTAACTTTAGACATGAAATCAATAAATTATCATATAGTTAAGATATGACTGTTGACATTACATTACCTATTATTGTAGCTCCCTCTAATTCTAATCTTGTATTTGTTGGTAAAATTGTAAAGTTTTTACTTTCATATTATTAAGTCTTTAAAGTATATAAAATATATGGTAATATTTAAGATAAACCTTTTAATAAATTACCATTCATTGCTAATCCACAAGTAGAATTTGAAAGTTCTTTAAATTTATCTGTTTAAAATTCACATAAATTTCCAGTTGTTATACTTTAATAGAAATTTACAGCATTTTCATCAAATAAATATTCATTCGAACTTAAATCAATACTTAATTAAGAATATTCTTCAACTTTGTTATATGCCTAAAAAAATACATCATATACTCCATCTATTTCAGCAGTTGTTAAAAAAAAGTATCTTAAGGTTCTCCTATATAATACCTCTCTTTAAGCATATATTGTAGGAATATCAACTCCTAAATCACTAATTCTTTAATATATTATAGCAGTTTAATCATATTTCTCAAAGTATCTTTCAATAATTAAATATATAACCATATAAAATGTAAAGAATAAAAGAAAATGTATTAAACCAATAAATGTTGTTAATCTTAGATAATTATTAGTAATTTTAAATCTTTTACCTTCTCTTTTTGTGTTATTTCTATTTAATTAATTATTACACTCATCAAGTTCAATATCAATTACATCAATATCAAATTCAAATCTTTTCACTTTCTCTAATTCATTTGAAACTATGCTTAAATGTTTTTAAAGTCTCTTTTTTTCATCATCTAATATCTATTAATCTAAATCCATTAAATATTAAAATATTGAATTCATTATTTAATTATATTCTCTATAACTATTAATTATTATTAAACATAATAATAAACTTGTAACAATAAATGGTAATAATACTGATAACCATTTCTCTCTTTCTAAAGTAGATCTTTATAAAGTAGCATCTAGAACTATTTTATTTAAACCATCAAATGTATGTTTTATTATAAGATAATTCTTACTTGTAAAATAAAAGAATGGACTATCAAATGCAACACTTCTTATTGTTAATCCTAACTTAAAATCATATTAATAATTCATCAATATATTAGCTAATGATCTTATTGTTACATTCTTTGTATATCCAACATATGAAGTATTTAGAAAATATATAGTAATATATTCATTCTCTGATAATTAATCAATCTCTCTTCTTTCTAATACACTATACATGCTGTCTCTCAAATGATCATACATTAAATTAAAAGTAGAAAAAGGATATTTAGTTAATTGAGCATATAAACTAGCATTAATATGTCCTCCACTTAATTACTCTCTATAATTAACCTAAGAAAATCTAGATACATAAAATGATTCGTATGGCTCTACTACATCATACCTTATTGATAATGTTTTTATGTCCTCTACAAATTTTTATAAGTTTTCAATCAATAATATTTACTAATTAATTATATATAATATATCTTACTATTATCAATCCTAATAATATTACACATGTATATAAACATATGAATTTATTCATTTTTATTATTTTCTATGATTATCTCTTTGATTTCATTAATATTGTTATTATCTCAAATTTCTTATAATATTTAGATCTTCTAATTGCAGAAACTGATGATGTTGATCCTATTTCTAAAAATTCATCTTCTTCAACAATCTTATTTACTTATTTTTTCATATCCTCATCATTTGAATATTTAGAACTGTGTAATAATCGTTTCTAAGATAATGGTTCAAATACATTATTACTCTTTCCCATTTCAACCATCTATAAAGTACAAACTAAATTTGTATCAGTTTAATTTATTGTTTATCTATGATGTTCTTATTATATTATACATAAAGAATTCTCTGGAATTGGATAATGATTCTCAATATCAATATAAGGAATCAACTTTTCTTCTGAATTGTTAAATTCACTATTTATATTCATTATTTTCTAAGTTGAACCAGGAAATTGAGTCAATGAAGCCATATATAAAGTTGAATTCTCATCTTTAAACTTCTTTGAAATCGCTCTTATATTATCTAATTCAACAAAATAACATTTGTATTAATTTTCAAATTTTCTCTCTATCTTAATATTACCAGTAAAAGAACATGCTACTTTTTAATGATGATATTCTTTTATTAACTTTATTTCTTAATTATAAAATTAATGTTAATGTGTAGATACTAATTATTAAAAATTTGGAATTAATTTTGTTACACAATTTGAATGAACTTTATTTTCCCCTTAAAATAAACTTTCTTGAATATTTGAACTTATATTCAAAATCTCTAAATGTTTATCTACAACTATATATGATCTATAATCAAGTGATTCATAAAAAAATGTAAGGAAAGAAAATTTATCATAATTTGTTTAATTCATACTTATCATTATCTATATAGGCATCATTACCTGATCTGATTATTTAAAAAATGATAAATTTTACTGTTAATAATACTTATTTCTCCCATCACTTAAGAACTTTTCTATTAAACTACTATGTTTCTATAATACGTATTCAGGCAAGTAAGTATTCAACTCAGTATTTTAATGATATTTTTATTCATATTATTAAATTTTCCATTAATCTAATAAAGATTATGCTCTTTAAGATTTCTTAGTTATTATTACATCTAATTCAGAATTTAGTTCAGTTATAAAATAAGCAGGATTTATACCAAATATTTTATGATACATTTGTCCAGAAAATTAATTGAACTTATCATCTTCAAAAGCTTTCCCTCTATTTATATTAAATGAATCAATATAATCATTTAGAATATGTAGAGAAAAATACTTCAATATATTTTAATTACTGCTTGCTAAATTTATTATTTATAAATACTTGGAAACTGATTATATCTATTTAACAGAGTATCCTTAAACTGTTAAATTTAATTTATAAATTAGAGTGCATAATTTACATTTCCAAAATAATTATTTTAATGTTCAACAAAATTATAATAGAATTAAATTTTCGTTTGAATTATTTTTTTTAAATTGGATATTATTAAAGAATCAGAATTTTCATTTAGTACAAATGACTTTAATGATTCATTAATTAATTTATTATTTTGATTTGAGATAAATATTTTTTCAGTTATTTAAATTACTACTTAATTTAAAACTTCTGCCTTTAAAAATTCTAATAAGAATATAGTAATTGTTGATAATGGGTTTTAGTTTTTTTCATAATTAAAAGTTTCTTTTGCTAAAAATTTGGTTATATGTTATTAGGCTTTAACATATTATTAACTTCTAAACAAAATTTAAGCATAATCAGTGCAAATTAAATCCCTAGATATTTCAATTTTTCCGTGTAGTTTTTCCTCAATTCTACTTTCTATAATTTTAATTAGTGCTAGATAATAATCATTTTGATATTTTGTACAGTAACAAATTTACTTTTTATCACAACTTTAAAAATGGCTTTTAAATAATATGAAAATTTGAAGTCTAGTAACAGTTTTTTCAGGATTGCTTAAATCTAGAAAAGAAAAAAGATATTTTAGTTCATTAACTTCATAATTAGATATTTTATCAAATTTAAATTCTTCAAAAAACATCAAGATTCTGATTACAATTATGCAAATTAATATCCAGTAATTATTATTATTAGTCTATTGGGTTAAGAGAACATCAAAAGAAAGTACTAATCCAATTGAACTAAAAATAATAATAGTTCTTGAATAGATTTTTTAAGCATAAACTTTAACTTTAATCTATTCTGCAATAAAGCATAATTATATTAAGATATTAATTATACATTAAATGACTTATGAGAGAAATTGTGAATGTAAATAAAAAAAAAATATGATTTACATTAATTTGAGAATTTTAATTATATATGAGTATGTTGTCATATTAATATATAACTAAGAAGTTGATTTTAGTACTAATCCTCTTCTAAATACAAGTTCTCCTAAAATCATAATAATTAGAGTTTGAATCATTATAAAGATGGAAATACAAAATTATGCTAGATCATTTGAATTAAAAAGGCAAATTTCAAAAATAAGAGGAAAAAAAGCAGTTGAAAAATAATAGATATAAAAAGAAAAGAGAATTGAAATGAATCTGGTCCAAAATGATAAATTCCCTAATGTATATTGATTTTTATAAGCAGCGCAACAAGCAATAAGAAAAATTAAATTTTGTATAATGACAAGTAGCCAAAATAACGCTGACTTTATATTTTAATTTTGAATGTATAAGTATAGCCTTGTTATGAGTGTAATTTTAGTAAGACTATGTCTAAGTTATTCATCTTAAGTATATTAGTAGTAAAATGAGTATGAAATTGATTAGACAATTGAATAAATAATAAGGAGCCATTAGAAGAGTTTAGGTATGCTATATTCCAATGTTAAAAAATGTGACAGCATGAAAACTACTTATTTCTCAAAAAGCTTAATTTAAAATGGCATAAAATAAGTAATGTATATGGTAAATATTATATTAATAAATTTTATAGAGGTATAGAATGTGATAAAGAGATTTAGAAATTAAATGAAATATATATGAGAAAAAAGAAAATGAAAAATTTTTATAAACTAATAAACAATTTTGGGAATAATGTAAATATATATTAAAATTGATTGATATCACAAAATTTGGCTGCCAATTAATTATTGATTATTAACAATTCATTACTAGAGTTAGCCAAAATTTTAGAAATTCTTTGGAAATGAAGTTATGAATTACCTTTTCAACAGTTTAGAGTTCTTCAATTTTTGATTTAACAAACAAAATATGTTAATTACTAAGTCTTTTGTTCACTTTTTTCAAATTCCAAAGTAAACTTTTATATTATATCTTTTTTCTTGATATTAGACTTCAAATAAAACCTTTTCTTTCAACCAATCTTATGCGTTTATCGCTTAAGTGAACTGAGAATCAAATAAATATAATATCTCCATTGTTTTTTCATTTTTCTTATGAGTTATACTTTGGCAAAATTTTTTGGTTTTCTCAATTTTTATCAAAGCTACCTTAAATAAAAAAAAATAAAATAAAACTTATAAGAAAGTAGATTTTCATGAATTGTCAATATAATTTCTTTTAAACTTGGTCAAATTTAGTTTTCGTATGATAACTAAAGAGAATCAATAAGATAAGTTTAGTAGCATAATCAATATCATTCTTTGCAAAAAAGTTTCTGTTATTGATTTAATGTACCTAAATTGTACCTTTTATATTATAATCAGAAATCAAAAAATGTTTCAATTATTTCACATCTCAATTATGGCTATTTAATATTAATGTCTATTCAAAATATATAACAATAGTCCAGAAATCTGAGTTTTTCTTCTTTTTTTTATTTTTAATCAAAACTTAATAATTTTTAATAAATATTTTTAAATATACAAACAATTAATAATCTAAAATACTAATTTCATTCTTAAAACTTTAGAAATAATAAACAACTAAAAAATTAGACACAGAGTACACATATCACTAAAAATTCAAAATTGAGAAGAAATATGACCCTCAACTTTCATTAGATCAGTATGTAGATAAAAATAACTAAATTGAATTCAAAAAATCAGAAAAAAAGTATTTTTATCTGTTTCATTACTAGATTTTCTCATATATTTGCTATGGATTGTATCTAAATAAGAAAATAAAAATCAGCAAAAAAATATTGAAACTTAACTTCAAAACCTATTTCTAAACAATATTAATTATTGAAAGCTAAAGTCAAAAAAAAAAAAAATTTTATTCAAGGGCATAAGTGTCTCAACAATTTTATTAATATCTGGTCTATTTTATGAATTATTATCTAATCAAATTAATAATTAAATCTTTTATTTCTTTTAATTAGATACTATCAATTCTTTTCAAAATTTCATTATTTTAATCAGAAATAAAATATTATTATTTCAAATATTAAACTTCTTTTTTATTTTTTCCTAAATTATATTAGATATTAACCTTAAAACAATTCATAAAATACACAGTCCATCTATGCTGGCTTCTGGTGCTTAATATTATATTGGTCCAAGATTATAAGTTTACAGTTTATCTTGATTTAAATTTTTAATCTTTCCAAAATCGATTAATTTAAATTAATCTTTAACTTTAAAAAAATTTAAATATTTTATATCCATATGAAAATAATCATTTTGATGCAAAAATTAAACTGCTTTTGAAGTCTACAAAAACATATAATGAAAAAATACATCAAGGCAAATCTTCAACTTTTCAGATTGATTTAAGTCTTTATTTTCTTATAGATAATTATCCAAATAACATTATCTAAGTTCTATAATTAAATATTTATTCTAGCTATTATTGATTCTAATTAAATTATTGAATTGATCTTATTATTAATTCTAAAAAAAAGAAAGTTTATGAACTTTTTATAAAAATTGATTGAAAAGAGAAATTTTAAATAAATAGTATAATAATATAATCAAGTAATTGACAGTGAATTATAAATTGTATAATAATATCTTTGAAGATTATCCTGGTTTTTTTGATTTAGATTGATTATAATGGAATTTGTATATTGGGCATTTATTCATTAATACTATCGGCCAGTTTCATATAAATAATTCTTGTTAGATTTGAGATAAAATTTGTTGATACCATCAGTAGTTGTTTCTTTACCTTAGAGTAAAAATCCTTTAAGTAATCTTTTATCTGGACAGGCACCTTTAAGTTAAACAATACTTTCGTTTTCTTCTCTGAAAATAAAAATATATTTTTGCATTTTCATAATAATAACAACAAATTTAAGTCTAGTGATTTATTTTTCATGTTTTGATTAAAATCTGTTTAAGTAATTAATTTAAATTGATTAATAGCAGGTTGATTAATTTGATCATCATCTTAACTTAATCTTCATGTTCAAGTAAGATATAAGATTTCAGTAACTAAAATGGAAGATAAAGATATATATGTTTTTCAGTAAAAATTGAATAGACCAAGAAAAGACATCCATAAAATTAGGCAATAGATAAAGAGATAACAGCTCCTTTATTTTTATAAACATCAAAGATAGTAATAACAACTGGAACACTAAACTACCTTTCCATCTATGCATTTTATAACCATCTAATAACAGAAATATGATTATTTCTTTAATGAAATCTATGTATTGCATCAACTCCAAAAAACCAAGAACAACCTCTAACTTCATTTCCTTTCCATCCATTTTTTAATGATTATTATTTATTATCTATTGGATTAATCCATAAAATATCTCAAAAGAGTATGGTAAAGTAAAATATTGAAATTTTAATTAGATCTATCAATTTTTTTGATATCTTCAAGCTAAAATCGAAAATACAGAACCTTATTACCGTTTTTAGATTGGAGAGATATTACTCTATCATTTGATGGATCCTTTAATAATAATAATAATAATTATAAATAATCATAATCATACATTTTTTCAATAAATTATATACAACTAAAGTGATCATAATTTAAAGTTTTTTTGACTCCTTACAGTTGGTAAAGTGCTTTATTCGGATATCATTTTTCTTTCTCTTGGCCTATTTGTTCTGGAACCTATTGAAGATTTCAAATCTCTAAGATTATTATTGTAAATACCTTTAATTAGCTTTTGATGTTTTTAATTTTTCATAATTAATTCCAATCTCATTCTATTAATCTTTACCTACTACATTATTCTTATATAATGATAAGTTAAATTAATCAACTGGATTTCTTACTCCTTTTAATGTATTCTCTTAAGAACTCTTAGAAGTTTATTATTATATTATTTTTGGTAATTCTTCAGGTTCATCAAGGAGAGCAGATTATAATTAATCAAATATTTTAGTGGAGTTTATTCTATTTATTCATTATTTAATTATACTTTATAACTCCATGTTATTTATTTGATTATTAGTTAAGTCTCTTAAATCTATCATAATTGAATCCCTTCCCATTATCTATTTATTTTATTGGCTTATCATCTGCTTTTATTTAAACATTATGATTTATTGTCGAATTCATTTATTAAGTCAAACTAAGATATTCATTTCTTGCCATTCTTAATGCAGGATTATTCATATTTTATAAATCTACAGTATTTGGTCTTGTTCCCTCTTTTATTCTTCCTTCATGAATAATTACTATTCCTGGTTATAAATTCATATTCTCAACTACCAAAGGAGCTATCTAATTAAATTTGAATGTATCTTTTTCTTTATCTTTCTCCTCATCAATTTTCTTATTATTCCAAGAAACTTTATTGTATTTCTTTTTTAGGTTTATTTTCATTGCCTAATCTTCATCAAATTTAGATCTTAAAAAATATTTCATTTTACCCCATAGTTGATGCTGGAGGTGGCAATTTATTTCCCTTTGTTTAATTAACAGATATCAATTTGCCATCATAATCATATGTATATTATTTAGATTTCTTATCTTTGGCCATTAATTCATATTTTAATTTTTCTTCTTTTTCTTCCTTTAGTTTTCTTTTTCTTTCTTTTTCTTACTCTCCATTCTTTTTTATAGTTTCTTATTCTTTGTTATATCTTAATAGTTCTTCTGTTTAGCTGATATCTAATGGATCAACTAAATCTATAGGCATAGGATCCAACTATTTTTTTTCTTTGATTGTTTATGTTTAATCCTTAAATTAATGATTGAATTACAAAAACTTTAGATCTTGCAAATGTCATAGGACTTGATGTTTAACATGTATTAGGTCTATTTTCTGGTTTAATTTCCATGTTTACTTTTGATGTCAACCATTATTCATGTTAAATATGTAACTTAAATAAATTAAATGGAATACAGGTTCAAAGTCTTCTCCTAAACCACCACTTTGAATATCTTGAATAGGATTTTCAGGCTTATAGAATGCTTATGCTAAAGGCATGACTAAAAGATTTAATGAATTTGAAGCAGAAACTGTTGGTAATTTTCTTAAGATTTCATTTTCTTATGCTTTGTCAATAACTTTCTTTAATAAGCGATTAAACAATTCTTTCATGTGATGCTCTCCTTCAATTTAGAAAACTTGAGTGGATAGTGGATCCATAGCAATATAATATTCATAGCAGTTCATTTTAGCCATATCTATTTATTCTAGCTCTACATCTGATTAGGTATTTGATTATTCTGCTATACTAGAAAGATCGACTTAAGAAGTTTTATAATTATTTTATTTCATATATAAATTAATAATTAACGATTATGCTTAAATAGCAACCTTAATCAGCAAAGAGTGGAAATGCTATCAAATAAAAAAAAGAAACGTTAGAAAGATTTGCTTATTGCAATAGTTAATAATTATTTCAAAACAATATTTTTGATTTGAGATAATTTATAAAATAGAATTATGAAAAATATTGTGAATTATTAGACAGAGTAGAGAATGTAAAATAAACAGTGAAATAAAAAAGAGAAAGTTTAGAATAATAGAGAAATAAATCAGAGAGTAAAACAAATAAACCTAGAGCAAATTTATGTGTACTAGATGAATTGTCTTAATTAAAGAGATAAATAGAAAATAAGTAATTTACAAATAATGAATTGAAATGTTAATTAGAGTAAATGAATCAATGGACAAAGAAATAAGACTTCTTTTAAGAATATTAAGAGATTTGTAAATAAGTTGAGGATTTAAGAATATAAAATGATTAATTATTAAAAGCATGATTAATGTGCCCGTTTTTGACAATATTAAAAATAAAAAATAATGAGAGCTCTTACCATAATTTGCTTAGTGGCTGCTGTATTAGCAACAGATACAAATAAATTTGCTGTGCTTCTATAAACAGGAACAAGAGGAAATGATGCTGTTGAATCAGTTTATAATCTTTTAAGAGATCTTAAAACAGAAAATGTTAATGTCTAAGCCGCAGCTGATAGAAAGAATAACACAGATGAAGGTATCTTCATAGTGTTATATCATTTTAGAAATCTTTTCTTAAGTTATTGGTGATTTGACAAATGTAGCTTCACTTAATAAATAATAATGGGAAGCATTAGGTGCAGTTAGAACAGATGTTGAAGCTTAAATTAGAGTATATTATATTAATAATTTTAGGATGGATATTCATGGTTATCCTGGGCTGAATCAAGACTTGCTGAAATTGAAAGAAGAAATGCTTAATTATAAGATTAAAGATGTTGGGCTAATGGACTTTTTGTTAAATCACTTGCTGATCATGCTGATGCTGTTGCTGTTGTTTAATTATTATAATAAGATGTTGCTGGTTATCTTACTAATAATGCTGGAGTTGAACTTGTTGAAAAAGCATAAACTATTGCTGATAAATTATCTGCTTATAGTCATCTCTTTTAATAAGATGCTCTTTAAAAATTCTAATCACTTGCTGAAGTTAAAAGAGAAGGAACTACTGGAGAATAAGTTCTTTCTATTTTATAAGATTTATAATCTGAATTAGAATCTACTCTTGCAACACTTTAAGAATAAGAAATTCATGCTGCATTTGCTTTGGCTAAATATGTATCAGATACTAATGCAGAAGTTGCTTGGTTAAATTCTGAACATGAAAGAAGAACTAATCTTGTTGAAAAATTAGAAACTGTATCATTTATATCTATTTTGCAAGTAATTACCTGCTGTCCTTGCTTAATAAGCTAAAGCCCTCAAATTATGGAAGGATTCTTTGAATGCAGTTGCTGGAGCTACTGCTGATTTAGAAGAAAAAAGAGAATTCTATGCTTCTGAAACTGCCAGAAGATAAGGTATATATATACATTACATTTCTAGAGGAAAACGCTATTATCGATGTTGTTATTTAACTCTTCAAAGATTAAGTCAGATCATTGGCCTCATAAACTTCCCTTGGAAGAAAATGATCTGTTCACATTAATAATAATAATATAATCCATTTTTATCTTTATTCCACTCTCTCTCTTACATCATTCTTCTCTTATAATATCAATTATTTATATTATTATCTAAACTCAACTCATATCTAATTATTTATAAATACTTACCCCTTATCAATAATATATATGTTCTTTAAGAATACAATTATAAATCTTATTGTTATTAATAACTTTTTGGATTTCTATACATTTTTAGCACATAAATAATAATTAATAAAATCAAAATTATTTTAACAAAAATTTATTTTTTTTATTTTAGCCTTCTTCTCTTCCTTATTTTAAGAAATTGCAGCTATTCTCTTATTTATTATATTGCTAAATAAATAAATAAAGTCTAAATGAGTTTTCCACTACAATTAATTCTTTATATTACGTTTCTGTACATTTAATCATCTTAATTTTACTTTTAATTTTAAATTTTACTCAACGAATATGAAGTTTAAATATATATATCTTATAAATTATTTCATTTTTTCAAGTTTCAAGGACATAAACTTTAAATTAGTTTACTATAAAATATTATGTAATGCGACAAATATTTACTCTGTTGAACTTTTTAATTAATTTTTCTATTTATATAACTTAAAGCTTACTTAATTGTTAGATTTAATACCTTACATTATTTTTTAAGTGGATTATAATGATAGACTGCAAAATTTCATATTTGCTAGATTGTTCAAATTAGAATTATGTATATAATTTCGAATTTTTTAGGAAGTCCTTATATATGTTTATTCTTAAAAAATTTAACCTTTTTCAAAGTGGAATTATTTTGATAATTCCCATTTTAATTTTAAATAATGCTTTTTATAATATCTATTCAAAAAAATGAAATTATATGAGATACAAATTAAAAACTAAAAAAAATAAAGTAGAAAAAGTTATAAAAAAGAGAGGAGGATTAAAGTAAGCTTGTAAATACTTTGCAATGTTATTTTGATAATAATGAAAAGTAAAGTTTCGAAATTAATGCCTTTAATTAATTAATTAATAAGTGAAATCTCATTTCCTTATCTTTTAATTAATTATAATTAATCTTAGAACTTATTCTAATAAACTTTGATGTTTAAAATGAACAGTAATGAACTTTTATAAGAAGAAGTAATATAAAAGATAAGTCATCTATAATTAAGTGAAAGTACTTAAAAATAAAAGTAATTTTAGCTGACGATGACAATTCTAGACAATGTAGCCCTGCTTTAGATTCAAGACTCTTGGAAATGATAAATGAGTTACCTCATCATTAACAATAAAAGTTAAACAGTTTGATTCCAAAAACAAATTATCAACTGATAAAACAAAATGATGAAAGCATTTATTATGGAATGATTGAAAATTAATAAAAATAAGGGGAAGGGATTTAAATCTGGTAGAAAACAAATAATTTCTTGGAAGGGTAATTATATTTAAATATATTTAGCCAATGGGAAAATGATTAATTAGAAGGGTTATGTAGAATGTATTATGCAAATGGAGACAGGTAACAAATATTTATATTTTAAATTAGTTTTGAATGCTAATTTAAATAAGGAAAAACAAATGGTTTTGGAGTTTATAAATCTTAAAAAAAAATTGTAAAAGGTAAAATTATTTATATTTATATAGGACTTTGGATTGATAATACAATTTAAGGAGAAGGTTAAGAAATCAAAATTGATGGAAGCAGATATTTTGGTTAATTTTGTAATGGAAAAAAAGAAGGTAGAGGAATACTTATGTTAAAAGATGGCTGCAAGTATAAAAATAACTATTATTAGATATGAAGGTTAATTCGAAAATAATTAATTTAATGGAGAAGGAACTTTTTTATGGAATGATGGCTCATATTATACAGGAACATTTAAAAATGGAAAAATATTAGGATTTGGTTTTTATATGAATTCTGGTGGAATATCAATGATAGGACATGTAATATACATAATCTATAAAAAGTTTACCGAATTAAAGAAGACTAATAGAGATAATCAAGAAAAAAATTAACATTTACAAACAATACTTTTTGTTAATTAGTATAATTAAAATTTGATGATTGAAAAAATTCGTATACTCTGATGTGGATTTTTGATAAATATATAGATATCTTATAGTATTAGTTCTCTTGTTTAAAATAAATTTGGTTGGTCTAAGAACATTCATTTTTCCATTTAAAATAATTCTAAGCAAAACGTTAAAGATTAATGGTCGGTCTTCATATTACTTATTTTAGCATAACAGCAATCAACATTTTTACATCAGTTTAGAATAGAAATAACTAAAAATGGTTTCCCAAATAGAATTTAAATATATAGAAACTTTAATGTTTATAATAATTTTCACCTTTACTTGCTTAAATCTACATAGTCTAAAAGAATTTAACAAAAATAACATAATCTCTTATTTAACAATGTCTAAGCTATAGTAGCTATAGGATAAAAGAATTTTCAAATCAGATTCCTTTAATTTAACTAATAATATACTTGAAATATATAGGGATTTGTTGTTAAAACTGTAAATTGAAGCTAATGCCATCATAAATCAACATTTAAAAATTATGCTTTTGCATTGATACTTAAAATGCTACTATCTCAAATTTTAAAAAATTTAATGTTCTTAGATTTATTAATTAACATTGGTTAAAATATGAGATTATATTTTATAATATTTCAAAACTTAAAGATTTATCAAATTATAATATTTATCATCGTAAATTATAAATTTATGTTATTTAAATGATCACAATTTATAATAATCATTTCAATTTTGCTATGAATTTTCGTTACTCTAATGTTAAGGATTTTATTAATTTAGATTGTTGAATTATTGTTTAATTTATGTTTAATTTTATATTTATGAATTATTTGGTTAACTGATTTTAGGGTTGCATTTTTGTATATATGGTTAATTAGATTGGATTGGTTAATTATTATTGGTTTATTATTGAGGCTACATTTAAGGTTATTTGGAAAGGTTACTGTAAGTAGTCTTTGATTAATTTGATGGATCAGTAAGAAATACTGGATCAATTTATTGGCCTGACTGATTCGCGGCTGGATAATTTAAAGTCTTTGGAAATTTTGATGGTATTTGAAGATTATTATTTTAAGTTAATGATGAAGAATTATTCGTTTTTAACAACTGTTCTTTTAATTGATTTATACAGCTTTTAAGAGTTTTCAATGTTTCATTTTTAATGCGATCAATATGTTATTCCAATTGTTATAACAAAGCTTGTTTGTTTTAATTTTCAAATTCTAAGTCAACATATTCTTTGATAATTTTAGTAAGTTATTCTAAAATTTGTTGTAATTTTTATTTTTTTTATAAATTTTCAACAGGTGCAATTATTGGCTGTTAATGATTTTAAAAGTCAAATTATTTACTTTAAGCTTAAAAAGCAGGCTATTAAAATTAATTTTAAAATTAATTAATTTTATCGGTAGTGCTTTCTACATTTATAATAGTAAAACTATTTGAAGGTTTTAATTTTCCAAGTTCATTAAATTTTTGTGATACTTAATTTTAAACTTATTCCATATTTGGTCTTTTAGTATGATCTGGATTAATCATTTTTATAATGATGTCTTTTAATTCTGATCTAATTTATAATTAATTAATTTTATTATGAACTTCTTTTTAATCTTGACAATAAATTTTTATTTTTTCAGAAACTTAATCTTTTGTTTTACCTTAAAGAGATTAAAAATAATAAATACCATCAAATAAAGGTGATTCTTAGAATATTTCATAAAAAAGACATCCTAAAGACCAAACATCAACAGAATTAGTATATTATCCATTTTCAAAAATCATTTCAGGAGCTTAATAAAGAGGTGTTCCAACATTCAATGTATTTCTTAGATTTTCTTCTCTTTTTTTAATTAAACCAAAATCAATTAATTTGAATATATTACCTGATTAAATAAAATTTTCAGGTTTTATATCTCTATGAATCA